TTTCACTGAGCATGAACTCTCTGCACGGAGCTGGGCAGGTGCCTTGTACAGAAAGCTACAAAAAGAAGCACAGCTCAGATCTCGGAAGCAAAGCAGGGCTCCAAGGAATACCTCCAAGGAATACCAGGGCCGGGACGCAGAGGCAGGCAATAGTAAGCCACCTCTGTGAAATGCCCAAGCACCACTAGGGGTCGCAAGCAGTCTTCCAGGCACACATACACACACACACACGAAAACTAAAAAAGAAGAAGCAGAGCTGTAGGTGCCTTATACCAAGCCACATCATTGGTTGATGTACTTAGGCCCTGTTCACACGAGACGTTTTGGGCCGGGAGAGGGATGGATCGGGGCCGCAGCAAATGGGCGCGATCCCACAGCAACATCTGGGAATCGTGCTGCGCCCGTTCCCAGCCCGTTCCCAATCCGCCCCTCCCGGCCAAATCCCACCTAGGTGGTTCTTTCCGAAAGGCCACATCACTGCCGGCCATGGGATCGCCGGCACGTCTTTCCACCGGCGCATCCTCGCCCCCCTCTTCGGCCGTACTGCGCATGCTCGAGCATGCGCAGTTTGGCAGCCTCCCCCTCCAATTGTCTCTTCCTCCCCGGCATCTGATAGCGCCGGGGAGCAACGGCGCCGCGGCTCAGGGGATCGTGGGATCCCGCCGCGGCATCTCTTTTTTGGTGCGGCTTTTAAAAGCCGCACTTTGGCCAGTGTTTTCCCTGCCATGTGGCAGGGGCCTCAGAATCACAGAATCATAGAGTTGGAAGGGACCTCCAGGGTCATCTAGTCCAGCCCCCTGCACAATGCAGGAAGTTCACAAATGCCTCCCCCTCCACACCCGCAGTGACCCCTGCTCCACGCCCAGAAGATGACAAAAAAAACTCCAGGATCCCCAGCCAAACTGGCCTGGAGAAAAACTGCTTACTGACCCCAAAGTGGCGATCGGCATTTCCCTGGGTGTGTAAGAAAGGACCTGGAACTGTCTTTGCCCACTGGGAGTCCCTTTGCCGATACCAGCCAGCCCTCGTCAGGAAATACCAGCTATCGACCAAGTAAATGCTTCCATGCTGTTTCAAACAAATAGGGTCAACCTTGTGGAGTGGCCGCAAAGAAATCACAAGCCTCACAGAAAATATACGTGATAGCGTGACCCCGACTGTTCCTAGCTACATTCTCTCCACCCCCGTCTTTCATATTCTGGAATAGTTGCGCCAGACTTCAACAGACTGGGTGTCACCTTTTAACAATTGACTCTGGGAAGCCACAGGGAGAATTATGCTCAACTAACACCTTTTCTACGACACTATTGTTAATTAACAGCATCCTTTACGCTCTTCGGAACATACTAAGGGGAGATTGACTTTTTTTTTTAACGTTTACAGTTTTCAGATCCTGAGAATTATTATACCATCGTCTTCCTTCACAGAAATCCGGGTTCTGCAATCAGAAGGTCCGAATTCTGCTATTGAGAAGATAATCAATTACGCAGCTTTTCAGAATTTTAAATCCTTGCTTGGTCTTACGGTTTAAACTCCTGAGACTTTCGGGGTTACTGTCATGATCCTAAGTCTGAGGTTAGGAAGTAGAGAAACTTGTAGGTAGGGTTGTCAGTTCTGGGTTAGGAAATACCTGGAGATGTTGAGGGTGGAGCCTGAAAAAGGGCGGGGTTTGGGGAGGGGAGGGGCTTCGGTAGGGTATGATACCATAGAGTCCACCTTCCAAAGCGGTCATTTTCTCTGGGGATGGCAATCAGTTGTAACCCCAGGAGATCTCCAGCCACCACCTGGAGGCTGGCAACCGTACTTGTAGGCCTCAGGAGAGGCTTCCTGCCATTTACAGGCCTCAGGCCTGGCTGCCATTTTCTATGGGTCTCTCTCTCTCTAGTAAAGCCCTAGAACCAGAATAGTGGTAGCCATTTAAGGCCCTTGCCTACTGTGGGGCTGAAGGGGTCAGGAGGAAAGAAAATTCGTGTGCGGGGAGGGAAGGATCCCTATGGAAGGGACGTCCTCTCTGTGGCAAAACTTGCACGGCCCTGCCTGCTTCCATGACAGATGCCAAGAAGACCCTGGCCTGTAATCAGCGGAAGACTTTGTATTTATAGTATACATTTTTAGTCAGTTACAGCTTGGCTGCTAGACTAAAACCTCCTTAAAGCGCCACAAGACTCCTGTTTATTTATGCAGCAAAAGATTAATTGGCTAACCCTCTGAAATTATTACCATGAAATGACCCTCTAGGGAAGACCTTCATTTTTGGGAGGGGGACTCTTCTACGATGGCCCTAGGGGGAGAGTTACTAGCGAGGGAAACAGCCTTGAAGGCTTCAAATCCTATGTTTGCTCCTCTCCTTTGTCACTTGGAAGGGAAGCCGGGAACGATCCCCCAGGAGGTTTTCCTAGCAGCTGGTGTCGCTTTGCGGGGAGAGAAACTGGCTGCAGAGCCAGCTGTTGCAAGTTGGAGCACCTTGGCGTTGTTTGTGCGGGCTTTCGGCTCTCCAAAGAGACCCTCCGGGGCTTCTCATCGGACACCTGCTGCAGCTGTAGCAGAAAAGGAGCCAGCAGGCAAAGCCACTGGTTGCGTCCCAACGAGCGGTACTGACTGCACCTTCCTTTTGCCCAGAAAAAGATGCTTGGAATTAAATACTCAAGAATATACTGTGAGGCTCCCCAGAACCTTAAAAAAACACAAAAAACAGCTGGCTGGAATAGACTCAGGGGGAAGGGAGGTTGTTTGTACGGCCAGTGGTTATAAGGTCACATCCCTGTTGGGCGCTCTGTGAAAAGGCCCAGAGCATCTGGCTACCTGTAGTTGAGCCTGTAACCCCCGAGATGCCAACTAAAACTATCTCCACCGAGCTTCAGAGTCAAAGAGAATTGCTAACTCCTGTTGTGATGACACCTGCCTTGAGCACCAGGCGTCACTAATGGATGGCTCTTGATCAGTTGTGCAAGGTAGTGGGATGGAGACTAGGACAGGGGAGTCCCAGGTTCAACTCCCTGCATGCCTTGAAACTCACTGGGTGAAACCTACATTGCAGGGTTCTTGATGAGGATAAAATGGAGGAGGGGGAAGCCATGGATGCCCTGCTGGGATCTGAGGAGGAAAGACGGGACAGCAGCAACCTGTCCATTGAGCCTGGAAGTTCTCCCCAATGGGTAGGGGGTGGGGGTTAGAACTCATGGCAAATAGCCTTGAAAGGCATTATTCGCCTGACCAAGACCGGTGCTCTATGTGCTTGAACTCTAAGCACCGTTTCCACAAAGGATGGAAGAAGTTAAAGGATTTGAACTCAGAAATGTTGCCTCTGGATTATACCAGCTGTTAGCTGCCTGTTCTCGGGGGTCATTCTTGAGGCTTCAGTTCCAAGCAATCTTGCTGGGCAAAAGACACACACACACACACACACACACACACACACAAGAAGCCATTCCCTGGGGATTTGAACTCACAACCACTTGGCTGTCTAGATGCAGGTTTTCCCCTCTAGGAAGACGAAAAAGAGATTGGATTTACACTCCGCCCTTTACTTGGAGTCTCAGAGCAGTTTACAATCTCCTTCCCTTCCCCTCCCCACAACAGACACCCCATGAGGTAGGTGGGGCTGAGAGAGTCCTGAGAGAACTGCCCTTGAGAGAACAGTTCTGAGAGAACTGTGACTGACCCAAGGAGGAGTGACTGCATGTGGAGGAGTGGGGAATCAAACCCGGTTCTCCCAGATTAGAGTCTGTCGCTGTTAACCACTACACCAAACTGGCTTTACTCCTACCGAGAGCTGTGTCCTGGGGGAATCATTCCAGAGACTCTGATTCCAGGTTGAGAGCTTAATACACCCAAGAGATGAAACCGCTGACCCCATGGCCAACATCTTTCCACACAGTGGAGATCCTACTGGGAAACTACTTCAGAGTTTATATTCCAAGCAGCGTCTCCAGGGCAAAACAGAGAACATCTCCTGCGGGCACATAAATGATTATCTGCAGCCAGCCACTTTTTCCACTACTGAATTCTTCCAGATGATGCATAGCCTGCCTCAAGGTCATCCTCCAATACAAAACAGCCTTTGCAAGCTGGAAAGGAATCTAAGCAGGACTTGAATGTGCCACTTGCTGAGCTGGCGTGTGTTTGGCCGTAGCTGTGTTTGGGGAAGCCACTGTGGAGGCTCACAAGTTCCACGCAAAGAAGTGAGTGAAAATCTGGTAGGAAGCTCGAATTTGGCACTGTCCATTCTGAAGACAGGCATCACCGGACTAAAGAAAGTCTTGGGAGTATTGGCCAAGAAGACAGCAGCCTGAACTGGTTAGACTGGAAGGAATGAAAAACAAACTCATGGGTCGAGACCCCATGTTTGTGATTTCAATAGCCAGATGGCTATAAAAGGACCCAAGACAACATGGTTCTTTCTCCAATTGGCGTGTCTTGGACAAAAAAAGGGAATTTTTTAAAAGGGGAGGATTCCTTCCAACACACAGCTTTATGCAGCTCATAAAGCTATTAGAGCATATAAGAAAAGAGCTTGGAAAGATCCCCACAGTAAGGCCAATGGGTCATGGTTTGTGTTATGTGTTAGGTCTGGAACATTCAAAGACTGGCTGAGCTTGAAGATCTAGAACTGGCTGAGCTTGAAGATCAAAGACTGGCTGAGCTTGAAGATCTAGAACAATAGCCCACCAGGACTCTGGAAGTGACCAGTGAGAAACTAATGTTATGCAAATAGCCTATTGTTGGGTGGGTGTGGGTGTGGCTTTTGCATGCTATTGAAATAGGGCTTTCTTTTAGTCTTGTTCCTGAAATCACTTAATAAAGTAGAGCTGTTCACTGCAAGGCGTCTTGAACCCAATATTTAATAGTTTGTGCCTGTTTTCATATCTTCGTGAACCTACAAGTTAGGATCATTAACTTAAGAGGGGAAATTGAACAAGGTAAGCTGTATGCAACAAAGAAGGTGGAGGTTGAAAGCAGAGGCTGACCTCCAGTATGGTTTGTTACAGCAAAAGGTAGGTATGAAGCACAGGCAGTGGTTGCTGATACTTAAGAATGGACCAGGCCTTTGGTGCAGGAAGAACCAGCCTTCAGCACAGAACCCCCCAAACCCCAAACTGGTGAAGAAGGAAAGAGAGGGCAAGGGCTCCTTCTCTGCTGCCCCAGAGGGTAAGATGAGATCTAACGGGCATAAGTTGCAGACGGATGGATCTCAGTTGGCTGTTAGGAGAAACTTCCTAAGGGCAAAAGCGGTTTGACACTGGAAGATGGTGGGTTCTTCTTCGCTGTGGGTTTTCCAGCACAGCCATCTGTTGGGGATGCCCCAGCTTGGGATTTGCTGCACTTAGCAGAAGTTGAATTCAGCGGCCTTTGAGGACTATAGGACTAATTTCTGGGATCCTTCTCAATGCAGGCATCACAGAGCAGGAACAAGCCACAAACAGATGGCTGCCCTGATCTAACTGGCCAGTGGATAACATGCTACGTCCACTCATTTGTATTCCTTTCGCCTGCATCCCAAGCCTCTGAACCTGGAAGAAGGATTGCTAACTGGTACCTCATGATGCTTTCAGCAAGAAGTTGTTGTTGTTGTTGTTCTTCTTCTTCAGTGCAGAATTGCTTGGAGGACACCACGGTGAACGTGGATTAACAGGAGAGTGCAGAAAGGGCTCAAGACATGGGAGCAAATGAGAGGCGGTCTTGTCAACCAGATTCCCTCTAGATTCCTCTTTTAGATTCTGCTGTTCTGCTGGGACAGCGGTTATTTGAAGTAGGTAGCAGTCCAACAGCTAAACCGCCCAGAGTGTTCCAAGAAGGCATTGCTTTCCAAACGGGAGGTGACTGTCCACCTTGACTGGACCAGTGGCACAGAATCACATGTCTCAGAGAAGACTGGCTTGAGAGGTACACCTCCGTGATTGGGTTGCCAACCTACAGGTGGGGCCTGAGCAAATGAGAGGCGGTCTTGTCATGGGAGCAAATGAGAGGCGGTCTTGTCAACTAGATTCCCTAGATTCTGCTGTTCTGCTGGGACAGCGGTTATTTGAAGTAGGTAGCAGTCCAACAGCTAAACCACCCAGTGTGTTCCAAGAAGGCATTGCTTTCCAAACGGGAGGTGACTGTCCACCTTGACTGGACCAGTGGCACAGAATCACATGTTCTAGAGAAGACTGGCTTGAGAGGTACACCTCCGTGATTGGGTTGCCAACCTACAGGTGGGGCCTGGAGCTCTTCCAGAATTACAGCTGATCTCCAGACTACACAGATCAGTTCCTCTGGAAAAAAATGTCTGCTTTGGAATATGGACACTCTACCCCGTTGAGCTCCCTTGCTCCCGAGGCACCAGCTCCCAAATCTCCAGGAATTTCACAAGCCAGGGTTGGCGACCCTGTTCCATGCCCTGACACTGCTCACCCCCACCTCCACTTTTGGCCTGATTTAAACTAGTACTACCGAAACAAGCTCCAATAACGGTGTAATCTAATATCACTCTTATCTGGGAGGCCCAAGCAGAGTCAGTTAATCTGTAACTGATGGTACCGTTCATTAACATCGGCCTTTTCAGTTACTTTGACAAAGGAGTGTGGAGGGGGAGGCACCTTAATCTGTGTCATTTAAAAAGTTCTGAGAAACAGCGCACTGATGATGGCATTACCAATGCCCTGACCTGGATAGCCCAGGCCAGCCCGATCTCATCAGATCTCAGAAGCTAAACGGGGTTGACTCTGGCAAGTGATTGGATGGGAGACCTCCTTGAAATACCAGCAGTCGGGAGCAGTGCTCCCTCTAAGCTGTGGAGTCTTGTGAGCAAAAATTCTACTTGGTGAGCTACTGGCATTAAAGTTGTGAGGGAGCGATTTGGCTACTGCATAAATTAGTTTGCTCTGGAGCCCTCCTTCCTGAACTAAGGCAAAAAAAGTGTGAGCCGGAGGCTAAAAAACTCTGAGCTAGATCACACTAACTCAGCTTAGAGGGAACACTGTCCCCAACCAACAGCTGTTAGGTTTAACAGCTGGTGGGAAGGGAGTGAAACTGACCAGAAGCGGGCTCAGTGCTTCCCTGTTCTTCCCCAGCCTCCCTGCTGCCGCAGGGGTGGGGGGACGGAGGAAAGAAAGAGAGAGTGGGGAATGGGAGAAGGGCTTGCCTTCTCTCTCTTTCCTTCACTTCCCCACTCCCCTGTCCCAGCGCTCCAGGCCCTGCCTCACCAGCCAAAATGTTTTGCCTACGGGGCTGTGAGGAATCCTAGAATCACAGAGTTGGACGGGGTCATAACAGGCCATCTAGTCAATCCTCTGTTCAATGTAGGATCAGCCTAGAGCATCCCTTATTGAACTCAGCCTTACTGAACTCAGTGGGACTTCCTTCTGAGTAAATATGCCTAGGGTTGGGGCTGTGAGGGGCACAGCTGGAGGAGATGGAAACAGTCTTGGCTGTAAGGTTGCCAGTTTTTTCAAAAAGTGCTGCTCCTGTGTCTGTAACAGCCGCTTGATCTGCAGGCTTTAGCGAGTGATAAGGAGGAGAGAACCAGGTGCATTGATGGGCCTGAAGTTTTTTGGAAGAAGAACAAAATAACAATGTAGATAGATAAACACCTCAGCTCCACGCTACAAGAATCTTCCGGTACGGATTTCTGTTGGTCCACCAGCTGTTAAAGGTTTCGCGGCAGCCAGGGTAGGGTGTCTCTCCCGGTGTCTTGGCGACCCTCCTTGTCCAGTCACTCTGTTGTGGCGCCAAGGGGACTGTGGGGAGGGAGATGTGACCGCCCACACACACCAGGTTTTGTTTTTTTTAAATTATTTATTTATTACTGCATTTCTAGTCTGTCTCTCTCATAAAGGACTCAAGGCACAGATTGCAAAAATTAAAAGCCAGCGATAAATATAGTACAATAAAAGCCATTAACAAGCTTTCAGCAAATCTTTAAAAGCACAACAGCATCCCGCTCATAACAATGTGTGCGTGCTAAGTGCTGTCAAGGCTCTTCTGACTTATGGTGGCCCTATGAATTAATGACCTCCACGTCCCACTGTTAACAGCCTTGGCTCAGGTCTTGCAAACTGAGAGCCCTGGCTTCCTTTTCTGAGTCAATCCACCCCACGCTGGGTCGTCCTCTTTTCCTGCTACCTTCGACTTTTCCTAGTATTATTGTCTTTTCCGGTGTCTCCTGTCTTCCCATAATGCAATGTTCCCTCTAAGCTGTGGAGTCTTGGAGCAAAAATTCTACTTTGTGAGCTACTGGCATTAAAGTTGTGAGCGAGCGATTTGGCTGCTACATAAATTAGTTTGCTCTGGAGCCATCCTTCCTGAACGAAAGCAAAACAAATGTGAGCCGGAGGCTAAAAAAACTGTGAGCTAGCTCACAATAACTCAGCTTAGAGGGAACACTGAATGCAACCAAAGTACGATATCCTCAGTTTAGTCATTGTAGCTTCTAGACAGAGTTCAGGCTTGGTTTGATCTAGAACACCACTTGTCTTTTTGGCGGTCCACAGTATCTGTAAAACTCTCCTCCGACACCACATTTCAAATGGATAAACTTAAGAATGTTCTCCTAAAATGTTCCATTTTACACAGTCTGCGGGAAGACTGGTGTGAGAGTTTTCCTATTTTTGTCAGGAAGGTTATTCCACCAGGTCATCCTGCAGCTGCAAGTGGAGGAGTGGGGGATCAAACCCGGTTCTCCCAGATTAGAGTCCGTGCACTTAACCACTACACCAAACTGGCTCAGGGGTGATAGTTGTTTTTCTTTCAATATATAACTACTGAGAACTCCAGCTTAGTCTCGCAGACCTGGCACCAACTTGCTCCATTCTGATTCGCAACCACACAAACGCTCGGTGTGCGAAAAGGAACCCAAATGCAGTCCCTGGGGAACCAAAGGGCCACTGGAGGAGGGTGCCTCTGCCATCCCTGTGAGCTGATACAAACAGTGCTGCTGCTTCCGAAACCATCCTGACAGGGCAGCCTCGTATGCAGGCGAAGCCAGCCTGGGCATTCAAGGGCCTGCTAGCTATTTATCATGCCGATATTATAGACTCAGACGGCAAATGCAAAGGACTATTGATTGGGCTGTCATGGGAGAAGGACGGCACGGGCAGGCGTCAATAAAAGCCGCTGGATGCCAGGCCCCCATCCTTCCGTAAATCACATCCACAGGAGTCAATCTCCCCCTGCCTGGCTTTAATAGCAAAACCACCTCTTTAATGGCAAATGCCAGCGGTCTCTAAATCACCCGGTGGAGGGCAAGGATGGAGGCGCGTCCACTATTGACAGAAATCGGACATGGAGTGGTGATAACGGGCTGGCCTGGAGACCATCAATCACCCAGACGGAAAGCGGTCCAGTGGCTCAGCTTTACCACGTAGCGCCACAGATGCAAGGGATATAATCCGATGTACCCGAATCTCCCAATCTGTCTCTGGGGCTCCCCTCTTAAAGGGTGTGCATTCACAAGACCATGGCAGAAATTCATCATGATGCTCTCAAAAACCACCTTTTCATTATCTCCAGGAGCTTGTGCAGCATAGTGGCTCAGAATGAACTATGACTTGGGTGCCATGACCCTGGTTCAAATCTTACCTCTATCATGAGCGCTGGTGGGAGATGTGGGAAGCTGCCCTCTCTCAGCTTCCTATCTGCATAATATCTTCCTATGTTACAGGATCATTGTCAGGACTGCAACCATGTGTGTGGAATACTTGCAAGCGCACCAGGAACACTGACTGTTATGGCAAGATTCGAGTCCAGTAGCCCCTGGACTCAGATTTTACTCTTCTGCTTCAGACACAGCTACTCACCTGAAGCTGAATATTATTATTACAGTTGGGGGATAATGTTTTTGTCCCCTTGGATGCAACTGGGCATTAGAAACCACCACAGCTAGAGAGATCAGAGCATGCTGGATAGCAAGGAATTGTGGACGGTGAAATTTCATCCTGGAAAATTCGGATGGTAAATTTTGCTCACTTTCTGCATCTCACTGATTATGGAAGGAAGCAGTGTTACCCGAACTGCCTGTCTCTGGGTTGGTGGGGAATTTAGCAAAGGAGACCAGGCTGGCAGAATGGAAGTAACAGGCAGGATAGCACACCAATGTATACCAGGGTCAAGATTCAAGAGGAATACTTCTCAAAAGGATCAGGACACCAAATTAAAGGAAATTGTTTTAT